AAAAAAAGGTTGAGAAGTTAGAGGGTTGATATGTTGTGGGGTTGTTAACCAATGTCATAAAACAACATGTGTACTTCTGTTTCATGAGAAACTATTTGTTCTGTAAGCCTTCACCTGAAGTACAATTAAAAAAAAAAATAAGAAAATTAAAGGTTTCCTTAGATGATATTTTTTTAAAATAACTTTGTTATTTAAGCTCCACCTAAACTTCACAAAAATCTTAGAGGAGAGATAAATTACCTGCCTCTACACATCATCAGTTCGATGTCAAGACAGTCCTATATTTATAAAAAACTAAAAGTTAATGTAATAAAGCTAGGTATCCCAAACCCACATTTTCTGGATTATCTTACATTAGATTATTACTCATATGGTGATGATTGCACAACCTTGTGAATCTACTAAAAACCACTGAACTGCTCACTTTAAAAACGTGAATTTTGTAATAGGTGAATTACATGTCAATAAAAAAATTACTGCTTATAGAGCCACAAACTTAAACTTCTTTAATTCAAACGACACAAGTGAAGGGAAAAAACAAACGCATATATTTATAGTTTAATTTACAAAATATCTATGAATGTAATGTTTGGTTAATTTCTATTCACATCTACTCACAGTTCAAATGGTATATTCAATTAGTTACAATTACTGGAAGTTTAGTGTATAAAAGCTTATTTAACACAACAAATCTTGGGAATGTATCTTAACATTAACTTAACATTAACTTTAGTTCAAATACAAATCATTCTGAAGACAGAAACCATCAGTAAATTAATAAAATTATTAAGTAAGCACAAGCTACTGACTTACTAGTCCTAGAGTCCCTTAAGGAGTCCTGGTGATGCAGTGGTTAAGAGCTCAGGCTGCTAATCAAAAGGTCAGCAGTTCGAATCCACCAGCCTCTCCTTGGAAACCCTATAGGGAAGTTCTACACTGTCCTATAGGGTCACTATGAGTTAGAATCAACTCGAAGGCAACAGGTTTGGGGTCTGTTTTTGGTTTAGAGTCCCTTAAAGAAGTCTTGGTGGGGCAACAGTTAAGCACTCAGCTGCTAACCAAAAGGTCAGCCACTTGAACCCAGCAGCCACTCCGCAGGAGAAAGATGTGGCAAAAAACAAAACCAAATCCGTTGCCGTCAAGTCTATTCTAACTCACAGTGACCCTACAGGACAGAGTAGAACTGCCCCATAGGGCATCCGAGGAGCGGCTGGTGGATTCGAACTGCCAACCTTTTGGTTAGCCACCAAGCTCTTAACCACTGTGCCACCAGCATTGGAAACCCTATGCAGCAGTTCTACTGTGTCCTATAGAGTAGCTATGAGTCGGAATTGACTCAATGGCAGTAGACTTAGAGTCCCTCAGGCCATGCCCTATAAATAGTTTTGTTTTTAAAAACATAAAAACTCAATCATGAAAACTAGGGCCATAACTAAGAATACCAAATCATAAACTTGAGTTAGAACTCCCCAAACTTTTATCATCATATAAATAGAACAGAAGCAAAAATTCTTATTTGTAATTTTTAAAAGGAAGGTTCTCAAATCATTACCTGAGAATTGGTAATTTTATTTCTAAAAGTAAAATTAAAAATTATTTTCACACCTTGGAGTCTTTACTACACTATTGTTTTGGGGAATTGTATCTTGAGGACTAGAGCCACACTTAAAATCCTCAGTAACAATTAATTATAAGAGCTCAGTAAATGCTCAGTATATTAATGAATTTCAATAAGACAAACTCCTGCTTGTGTTACCATAACAAATTCTCAACTAGGGAGGTCTGTATCAGAATATCATGCGGAATGCAAATACAGTATTATAATGTAACTTTATAGAAAAAAAAATACTTATTTTTTTATAATCGAGACTACAGAAAGTAAAGCCAAGATTGGGAATTGTGGGGTGGAGGAAAGGTGGCAGTGCAGGGAAGTTTTGTTTTTGTTTTCTAAATGTTTATTAAGGGAGATAGGTTAATAAATAATGTTGCAAAACGCTGGGCTAAATTACAGGAAGGGAATAGCAGGAGAGCAATCTGGTAGGGTAGGTGGGGCCAGAACAAGGCTAAGGAGTGTGGACTTGGTCCTAGACAGCTATCATTGTTTCAATATCTTTAATGTTTAGTAAGCTTTTTACTGATGTAATATATAAGGAAAAGTGCACAAACCTGAAGAGTCTACTTTAATGAATTTTCACTGATTTTTATAATAAAACATTACCCTGGATTCCAGATATTTAGCAGTCACTAGTCAATTGTGATTAATGGTAACTACAAATATATCCAACACTCGTCTGTCAGTCTGTCGTACTGTGGTGGTTTGTGTGTTATACTGAAGTTATGCCACTGGTATTCCAAACACCAGCGGAGTCACCCATGGTAAACAAGTTTCAGTGGAGTTTCCAGACTAAGACAGACTAGGAAGAAAGGCCTGGAAATCTGCTTCCAAAAATTAGCCAAATAAAAACCTTATGGAACACAACAGAATACTGTCTGATAAAGTGCTGGAAGATGAGCCTCCTAGGTTGGAAGGCACTACACAACAGTTGCAACAATGAACTCAAACACACCAAAGATCGTGAAGACGAAGCACGAAAACACGTTTTGATCCTTTATACATAAGGTTGCCAGGAGTCGGCGTCAACTCAATGGCAACTAACAATAAACAAATACAGCATTATACCAGCACAGTACCATTGCTACTCAATAAAAAAAAAACTAAACCCACTGCCACTGAGTCAATTCCTACTCATAACGACCCTATACAGAATACAATAAAGACAATATTTCCAGCAGTTTGTAGTTTCTGCAGTAGATGAATTTTATCATGTTTTTATGCAAATAACGTGCACCTTCTACATTTGTCTGCCATCTGCTCCCTCCCCACACGAGGTATTTTCGTGAGCACTATGCCAAATGCTATGCCAATTTTTTTTTTTTACATGTTACTACTGTTTGGTTCTAAGAAGATTTCGGGTGATATTTTTGGATTAAGGTTTAAAGATTATCTCAGGGCAACAGCTTCTGGGGTTCATCCAGCCTTCATGGCTCCAGGAAGTCTGGAGTCCATGAGAATTTGAAATTCTGTATTTTCCCCCTTTTGATCAGGATCCTGCTAGAGAATCTTTGATCAAAGCATTTCTTATTGTTAAGTCTACATTCTCAAACCTTAGCCTGTTTTAAGAGAGGCACAGGTGGTGCAATGGTTAAACGCTCAGCTGTTAAAGGAAAGGTTGGCAGTTCAAACCCACTAGCCATTCCACGGGAAAAAAGACCTGGCAATCTGTTCCCATAAAGATTACAGCCTACGAAACCCTATGGGGAAGTTCTACTCTGTCCTATAGAGTTGCTATGGGTCAGAATCCACTCAATGGCACACAACAAGCCTCTTTTAGTTATTCTACTCACTGCCATCTACAAATAGATGATTTGAAATGAGTCGAGGAGATGATCAAAATAAATTAAGATTAGACATGTTGTTATACTGGTAACTCCTCTTTATTTCACACATATGCATATATAACCATCTTGAGATGCTTAACATTGCATTCAACATTTCCTGACCACCTCACTTTGTGCCATGTGCTATGACAGCTTCTGTGGATACAAAGAGAAATAAGGCATAGTCCTCTGCCCTCAGAGCTCACACACAGGTCTCGTGTAATTCTAATACCATGTCTTAAATGAGTTTTTGTTGTTGTTTTCTCAAGAAATGCTTTCAAATTTCAGAAAAATCTCTTTAGTATATTTTATTTGAGGCAATGATTAGAGAAAATCATTTGCAAAAATGCAGATGGTAATAAATATTAACATTTTCATTTAAGTCAATTATTTTTTCTGCCCAGAGAGGAGTTATCTGTATGCAACACATCATGTAATAATATCAGAGTAAATCCCAGCTGTAGAAATAAAATGCTATGCTGTTTTACTGAGTTGTACTCATAATGAATGGCTGTCTATGCTTAATCTGAATAAAGCTCCCAACTGCTAAGTATCTTCTTGCCAAAAATTCCTCTTCCTCCTCCAGATTGGAGTTGCATTCCAATTACACTGCTGACTGGAATGAGACTGCTTAACAGAAAGAAAAAATACTCAAGACGTCCAGTCTTCCTTCACTCCAAAGATTTTCTAATATCAGTGCTGAGATTCAAAAGCTGTATAGACTATTTTTGAAACCAGAGCAGATTTCTCTGCATTTTCTTTAAACTTATATTATCATTGTAAAACAAAACTGAAGTTCAGGATAACATTCCTATACAAATTCCAGCAAGATGGCCTAGTACTTTAAAAAACGTCTACCAATATGCACCATTTCTGATCACTTGCACATTACAGCAACTTAGATCTGCTCCAAGAAACAAACTCTATC